TGGGGGAATTTCTTTATCAAAAGTTTTTTTTACTGTATCAAGATTTTTGAATACAACTTTAATATTAAAATTCTTAAGAAGAGAAGGCATATCAACCAAGTTTTCATGGTAGGGAGAACCAACATATTTTTAGTTGAATAAGGTCGGTTGTCCCTTTTTGGATTGTAAAAAGTATTTCTAGCAACTTTAAAAGATTTATCAATTACATTCCTCGGGTATTTCAAATCATTACCTATTTCATAAATTTTGGATATTTCCTCATCTATGAACTCTGGGCTCTCAAAAACACTGATGAGAAAACAGACAGTTTAACTTTATCTTGATGGGAAGAATAATAGTGTACATAGGAACAGTTATTTGTAGGTTTTCTGTAAATTTTAAATTTGAGTTCATTATTACTCTTAATAATTAAAACATCTAGAAAAGGCAATGAGTTATTTTCTTCAAACTCAAAAGTATCTTATGCCCAGAAATGTAGATATACACCATTTCCTTGGAAAATTAAATATTATTATTATTATAATCAAAAAGAAATAATAAAAAAGAACGGAAAATTAAAAGCTTACCCCTTCTAAAAACTTTTGTTGAGTTTGAGGAAAATAATATTGTTTTCTGGGTTTTAATTTTAAGAGTAAATAAATTCAAATTTAAATTTACGAAAACCTACAAATAATTTTTTTCCTATGCCCACTATTTTTTCCATAAAGAAGAGAAAAAACTGTCTGTTTTCTCATCAAAGTTTTTAGAGCTTTACGTATTTGTTCCAGAGTACATGATGAAAAAATACCCAAAAATTTTTTAAAAAATAGCCAATGATCTAAAATACCCGAGGAATGTAATTGTTTAATTTATTTAAAATTGAAAATACTTTTTACAACCCAAAAAAGGGACAACCGACCTTATTCAACTAAAAAATATTTTGGGGTTCTCCTTAAACATAAAAACTTGGTTTATGCCTTCCTTCTTAGATTTTTAATATTAAAATTGTATTCAAAAATCTTTGATCAGTAAAAAAATTTGATAAAAAATTTCCCCCCCAAAAGCTGAGGGGTTTTTGTCTATAAGATTCCTTGTAAAATTGCAATAAAGTTTATTAGGGTCAAACGGTAAAAATCTCGAACTAAGATTAAAAACAACATAAATTTACTTAAATGGAAAAGTTCCCAATCCTATTTATTCATGAAAGAGATTTTAACCACCCAATTGATTTCAAAAATTTGGAGAAAGTAGTATCAAGAAGCCCGGGTCGAAAGGAATATAAGTGAAATTTTTTTCATAAAAAACGTTTTTGCAATAATAAAAATTTCCTTTATTTATAAAAAATTAGATCCCTTTATAAATTTAATAATTTGGGGAAAAATTTTAAAAATACATTGGGCAATAAAATTTTTAAAAATTTTTTTGGGTAGAATAGTTTTTTTGGTGGGGTTTGCGATGGACCGTCCCGTTGGGCCCCGGGGCACGCGGTGTTTTTAACTGTTGGGGATTGATAGTAGGTGTTGGCCAGGGCCCTTATATACCTTCCTTGGATGCTTCCTTTTTGTTCCCTTTATAATGGAGCAGTACGAAAGCGCATCAATTTTTCTTTCTTTCACAGTGGTTTTTTTGCATATATATAAATATATTATATTATATATATATTATATTATATATATTTTATATATTTTTTTATATATATATATACAGTATTTTTTATATATAAAAATTTTTAAAATTATAAAATATAAATGTGTATATATATATTATATTTTATATTTTATATTTAATTTTATATATATATATATATATTTATTAATATATATGCAAAAAACCACTGGGGAAAAATAGAAAAATTGATGCGCTTTCGTGCCTGCTCAATTATAAAGGGGAAACTATGAAAGTAAAGCACCCAAGGAAGGTATATAAGGGGTCGGGCCCAACCCACCTCACTATCAGATCCCACAACTTTTTAAACACCGGGACGTGCGGGGGCCCAACGGGAAAAAGGGGCCATCGCACAAACCAAAAAACTATTCTACCCAAGAAAAATTTTAAAAATTATTTTTTGGGTCCAAGGGTATTATTAAATTTTTCCCCAAATTCTATTAATTTTTAAAAAGGGATCAAATTTATAAAAACTAAAGGAAATTTTTATATTATTGTCAAAATGCTTTTTTTAAAAAAAGGGATTCACTTTTTTTTCCTTTTCAAACCAGGGAAACTTGCTTGTACTATTTTTCCCCAACTTTTTGGGAAAATAATTGGTTGGTTAAAATCTTTTAAACATGAAAAAAATAGACCCATTGGAATTTTTGGGTCCAGTTCTAATGCCTATTTTTATGTTGTTTTAATTTAGTTCGAGATTTTTACCATTTTGGGACCGTTAATAAACTTTTATTGAAAATTTTACAAGGAATCTTTAGCCCAAATCCATCACCCTTTTTTGGGGGGAATTTTTTTTATAAAATTTTTTTTACTGTACCCAAGTTTTTGGGGAATCCCCAACTTTAAAAAATTTAAAAAGTCTTAAAAAGAGAAGGCATATAACCCAAAGGGTTTTCATGGTAAGGGAAAAAACCAACATATTTTTTTTTAAAAATAAGGTCGGTTGCCCCTTTTTTGGGATTGTAAAAAGTATTTCTAGAAATTTTTAAAATAATTAATCAATTACATTCCTCGGGTATTTTTAGATCATTGGGGTATTTCATTAAAATTTTTGGGTATTTTTTCATCTTTTACTCTGGAGTACAAATACGTAAAAACTCTTTAAAAAAATTTGGGTGAGAAAAAGACAGTTTAAAATCTATCTTGGGTGTGAAGAAAAATTTGTGGACATAGGAAACAGTTATTTGTAGGTTTTCCCGTAAATTTTAAATTTGAATTCATTATTATCTTAATAATTAAAACATTTTAGAAAAGGCAATGAGTTATTTTTTCCCCTTAAACTTAAAAGTAAAGTTTATTTGAATGGGGAAAACTATTTAAATTTTTCCCTTTTTTTTTATTTATTTTCCCTTTTTTATTATAAAATTAAAAATATTTAATTTTTTCCCAAAGGGAAAAGGTGTTAAACTACATTTTGGGCATAAAATTTCTTTTTAGTTTGAAGAAAATAATTTATTGGGCCCTTTTTTAGATGTTTTTAAAATTAAAAGGGAATATTTAAAATCAAATTTAAAAAATTTTCAGGGAAAAAAACAAATAATGTTCCTAGGGACACTATTTTTCTTCCCCTCAAGATAAAGTTTTTAAAATGTCTGTTTTCTATCAGTGGGTTTTTTAGAGCCCGGGGTTCATAGATGGGGAAAAATCCAAAATTTATGAAATGGAAAGGGTTTGAAAAAAAGGGAAATTTAATTGATTTAAAACTTTTAAAGTTGCTAGAAATACTTTTTACAATCCAAAAAAGGGGCAAAAACCCCCCCTTAAATTTAAAATTTAAAATTTTGTTGGTTCTTCCCCCACCCTGAAACTTGGTTGATATGCCTTCTCTTTTTTAAGAATTTTAATATTAAAGTTGTATTCAAAAATCTTGATACAGTAAAAAAAACTTTTGATAAGAATTCCCCCAAAATGCTGATGGATGTGTCTATAAGATTCCTTGTAAAATTTGCGATTAAAGTTTATTACGGTCAAATGGTAAAAATCTCGAACTAAGATTAAAACAACATAAATATAGCATTAGAACTGGACAAGATTCCAATGCTCTATTTAGTCATGTAAGAGATTTTAACCATCCAATTGATTTTCAAAAAGTTGAGAAAGTAGTATCAAGCAAGTCCATGGTTGACAGGAATATAATTGAATCTTGTTTCATACAAAGCAGTTTTGACAATAATGTGAATATTTCCTTTGGTTTATATAAATTAGATCCATTTATAATTAATAGAATTTGGGAAGAATTTAATAATAATAATTTTTTAAATTTTCTTGGGTAGAATAGTTTGTTGGTGGGTTGTGCGAAGGACCTGTCCAGTTGGGCCGGCGCGCGTCAGGTGTTTAACTGTTGTGGGATCTGATAGTGAGGTGTTGGCCAGACCCCTTATATACCTTCCTTGGATGCTTTATCTTTTATAGTTCCTTGATAATGTGAGTAGTCACGAAAGCGCATGGAATTTCTCTATTCTTTCACAGTGGTTGTTTTGCATATTCTGAAATCACCTGTTTACTGTGATCTTATTGCATATATATATATATATTATATATATATATATATATATTTATATTTATATATTTTTTTATATATATTTATATATATATATATATATATGTACACATATATACAATATATATATTATATATATATATATATATTATATATATATATATATATATTTGTACACATTATATACAATATATATATATTATATATATATATATATATTATTTTTATATATATATATTATATATATATATATATTAAGCAAATATCGGAAACCAAGAGATAAAAGATACAAAACCACGGGGGGAGTAGAATGATAGCTCTAGGCCTTTCGTGTTGCAATCACATTATCAGGAGCTTGCAAAATGTAGAAAAGAGAAGGGTCTCCAAGCGAATACGTTCCCAGGGGACCGCGTTCACTCCAGCCAACGACCCATACTGAATAAATAAATATCTTTGATTTATTCATCACGGGCTATAAAATAAGAGCTCATTATCATACTCATCTTAGGACTAGAGGTTCAGAATTACCGTCTCTGGTCCTGTCAGTTAACATAACCAGCTGTGGAGAGACAAAATTTATGGGTTGCCTGGGTATCCATGGAGGACCTGGAAAGGCGTCCGCCAGCACTTTCTCCCGTCCACAGCATGAAACACTTACAAATGGTTCCTGCTTCTCGTATCCTAATATGATTTAATAGCGGCGCGAGAAATTGTTATTGTAAGTTACGGGAACGCTTGTTAATGTTAAATATGGCTTCGGGACATTTCAAGCATAAGCGAATGTGAGTGAATTGTCTCAAATTTTTGGATGTAAAGAAACATGTGTCATCTAGAAGTTGGGTTGGCAACATCTTACCTGGAAGAGTGCCTCTAGGCATATTGCTGCTGCAACAGGAGATACGCTCTTACGTACCTGCAAGAGAAAGGTGGCATTAGCGACTCTTTATAATTCAAGGTGGGTGATTCACAGATGCAGAGACTCGGTAATTAACATCACGTGCACCGCGTCAAAACATTTTGAAACAATAAATAGATTTGTACATACATGTTACATAACACTGTTACAGTAACTGTTACAAATAAGAATCAGGACATTGAGAAATTTAACATATGAATTTTCCGGAGAGAAACTTAGAGAAAACTTATCAATAAATATTCAGGAAGATCAGTTAACGGCTGTTGCTGTTTTTGCATTGTCAGGAAAGTACCTGCTACTGGTTTTTGTCACAAGATGAGCCGTTCATTGGTGGTGGTATACGGTGGAGGCGCGGCAAGACCTGGTGTAAGGACACGTGAAGGTAGAGCTACCCATGGTCAAGTGGAAGACCACGGTAGCAAGCAAGGCTTACCCGTGCTGGGATCACTGTTACATTATGTCCTAGAAAGTGGTGTGACCTTACTGAAGGGACTCTGTGGATATACCAGAGCTGAAGTCGGAGGCTACTTCATTCTTGATCAGTAAAGACAAAGACTATTCCATTCTCGTCAGCAAAGCTGAAGACTACTCCAGTCTCGCACAACTTCCTATATAGTAAAAATAAAGTTCACTCAAAACAAGACGTATCCTTTAAAACAATGTCAATGATTGGTTAAACTAAGGTTTATCACTATCCTCTAACTATAAGATTGAACATTGACAGTAAACCAGGACAAGCTCCACTTTACCAAAGGAGATATAAAGGCACAACTCTCCCATCAGTAAAGAGGAACCAGGAGCCATGACTCGGCCACTTCAACCACAAATAGGTGAGTACACTCAGGTATGATGAACAAGGCACATGTGCAACACTTGTGCATCATTATTGTCTAATCGTTTTGCCTGTACGTAAGGTTTCTTTAGACGAGTACAGGAAAATATAACACTGGCGACAGTGAAAGTAATTATTTTGAAATGATCAGTCCCTCAGTCTAGATAAGTGGTAATCAGTGCCTCAGCCTAGATAAATGGTGATCAGTCCCTCAGTCTTGATCAGTGGTGATCAGTCCTTTAGCTTGTCTGTATGTCATACAACTAATACGACACTCAGGTGTTTAATTGTACAATCACATCTGGCACACTTAATATTTAGTCCAAAGAGGGCCAAATATGGCACTCCCCAAAGATGATGTAGGTATTGGTATTCATACATTTCCATTGGATCAAAAGTACTGAGAAGTTGTCTATCATAAATTGCGCTGGAAATCAAGAGTGGGCACATAATTACATGAAGGTATTGCCGTAAGTATATAACAGATGGTGGCGGTGTTTTTCTCTTCAAGAAGCAAACAGTGTCTCCTGACCCAGATTTTTATCTGACGACCCCAGAAATGTAAATCATTTACTATACTACTTATCTAAAAATTTTACCCCATTTATAAAGGATCTTTACGATGTATATTAAGATGACGATAATAACCTAACAGAGATCCAGAAGATGGTGACAATATGAGCCAATGCATTATATACAACATTTAATAATAGTAGGCATTTATATATATCCAGGAGTCTTGAAATTTAAAAAAAATTGTTGATCTCCATGGATGTATAACCAAGAAAAAAAAAATTTTTACGCATAAACATAATTAATTGCCTAGAGGGATATTCGTTGAAAATTCCAACTGCAAAATTGAGATCCCGACGGCTATAATGAGACGTTATTAGAGCCTGGGGTTTTGGCAGGCGTCCCGACACTCTCAGTAAAGTGACCCATAAACATTGATGATAACACACACTCAAGGAGACAGGATAACGCTGCAGGATAACACTAAATAATTGGACGGAAGCCGCTTAAGGGTAATTCTTATACGCTGCAACCAGATTACACCCCCCTTGCCCTCTTATCTGAACCCCACCCTCAACACCCCCTTCCTCTCTCATCTCGGCTCCAACCCCAACACCTCCATCCACTCCTACTTCATCCTCAACATTTCCTTTCCCTCTTACCTCATCCTGAAACCCCTCTTCCCTCCTTACCTCTACTCCAGCACTACCTTTCCCTCACCTCAACTCTCACTTCAAACTTCTCCCCAACCCATGGGCGCCCACACAAATATTTTCAAGGAGGAGTCAAGACAGACTTATGTTGGACAGGAAAATTCGTTTAAAAAGTCGTTAAATGAAACTTAAATGTCAATTTATGTAAGAGCAGAGTTATACCAGGGCATGTATCATTATCACTAATATTAATAATGAAATAATTATAATAATAATAATAATAATAATAGTTAACATTGGTGCAGAAAATGGGATATTTCAGTAGCAACTTGTTTTAATTACGACGTCACTGGAAGGAAGAGCTAATGACACTAATTATCGAAGTAGTGGGGTCACGTGACAACACTGAGATAGGTAGAGGTTTTAAGTGGGTGTAGTGGTGGTGGTTTTGATAAGTGTGGTGGAAAATATCCAGAGAGAGAGAGAGTGCGTGAGTGAGAGTGGATATGAACAACCAGGTGTGGGGGTTGAGCGTGGGTTGAGAAAGTGAATTTGGTAGAGGAGGTCTGAGTGGATGTGGGCAGAGACCGTATATGGCCAACCCTGCTGATGGGTGAGTGGGAGAACCTGCCTGCCTCCTGCTTCCTACCTACTGCATCCTGCCTCCTACCTACTGCATCCTGCCTCCTGTTTCCTACCTCCTGCCTCTTAGCTCCTGCCTCTTGCCTCCTACTTCTTCCTCTCTGATAAATAATATACCGCACCATCATAGAGCTTACACCTGAAAAAAGCCTGTTCAGAAGCTAGGATAAAGGTCTGGTAGAATTAGCCTGGTCCCAGATTTATGGGACTGAACTTTAAGAAGAGGCTAAAGGAACTAAGGTTAACAATCTTCTAAGAGAAGAACTACAGAAGATATGATAACGACGTGCAAGATATTCAGGAATCGACAGAACGCATAGGTAGAAACTGAAATAAAAGTAACATTGGGAATACATAAAGTTTAATGCATGGATAAGCCATAGGGATGTTAGGCAATACTTCTTCAGTTTTAGAGTTTTATCATAAAGATTAGCTTATTAACTTTATTATGAACTTAATCCCCATGGTGTGGGCGGCATTCAGACGATTTCAGAGGCACATAATGGATCCAGGGACTGAATCACAAAGTTTTGATAGCTAAGCAAATTACAGTGGTAATGAACTGTTTACATGTTGATATCTGCTTGCAGTCAAAATGAATTATTTTCGCAGACATGAATACCGTCACAAAAGCATTAGCGTGTAACTTACATGTGTGTGTTTTAATTATTTATATAATCTTATATTTATGAAAGGTATTGGAAAAATTAAACAAGTGGTTATGAATTATTTACAGTAGGTAGAGTCTGGACATTTTTCCAGAATGACTGGTAATGTGCCACTGTGGAGAAAATACTCTGACATAGCTTTAACATCTGCGATTAAGTTGTCTCTGAATTCATTGGTAAGCCAGCAGAAGCCAGTCAGTAGCGGCACCCATGAGTCATGTTGAATGCACCATACTCATATGACTCCTGCTGCATGATAGAATGATAGGTAGACTGACAACTGTCTCCTTTAGTGTCAAGTCAGTGAATTTCCAACTGAAATTCTATTCACGTTATTGTCCTCAAACTACAAGTTAAGAGCTTTTGTCTATCTACAATCCTACTACACCTGTGTCTGGCTTCTGGCACAAACATGCCACAATTGACACTCATGGAACTAACATTCAGGGAATGGGAGACAAGCAGGTTTGATCCAAAGGGAGGATAGTTTCAATCCCTTGGATCAAATATCCTTCACCAGCATGATGGCATCTCTTTCTTGAAAGGTAATAGCACAGTAATAGCGGCAACATTCATCTTACAATATTCTTAATTTGCTTTTTTTTCTGTATCCCAAGCGGTCAATGTTCGGACAGTCAACTCTGTGACTGGTCAAGGTAAATTCACTTTCACTGTGTGGCAACCCGGGACAAGGCTTCTATTGCTTAGCAGCGACGGTGGTGGCAGAGTCTGAAGAGGTGGCAGAGGAGGCTGTGACGGCAACAGCCGCGGCTGTAGCAGCACCAGCAGCAGTACCAGCAGGACAGTTCTAGCATCTTTATTTCTGCTTGCCGTGACTCTGGGCAACACTGATGTGAAGGCAAACATAAATAAATGGATTAATAATCCTTATTCTTTTGTGTGGTCGAATTGCCTCGAGTCAAATTATTAAATTAATCAAATTTTTAAGGTTACCCCGACAGGGGTACCTTTAGTGGTTGCCAGAAAGATTTTTTTCATCATCCAAGGTTTTCCTTTGTAACTTGTGGACTGCTGATCTAATCGGTTTTAAATATTCAGAACCGGCTTACTACAACGAGGGAAAGGTTCATGCACCTACTGGTAGGTACTGGTCTCCTCTAGTCAGTTGTATATAGACACTTCCAGGTTTATGGAATCCGCGTTATAACTTGAGAGAGCTTCCTTGTGTGGCATATGGGACAAGGGAACCTTTCTTAGATCGCGCAGCGACCGAAACACATCTAATTGTTTCTGTATTTTCGATAGTATTTACCAACCATCGTCGATTTAGTGCTTTATTTGATTATAATTATTATAATACCAACCATCGTTCGCACACAAGGATGGAGTGTCCACCCGAACTTCCTGATAACAATAGCTCAGATTAGAGCATTTATAAATATTGAACGTATAGGAAGTCACAGCCTTTATCCTTGTCAACGACTGAAGCCAATTTCCCACTTCTGCTCACCAGAAGAGATGAATTCTCGAAAATCTTGAAGATGACTGATGTGTAAGTGGCGCGCTAGATCGGCTCTGACTGTGATGACGAAAACCGTAATATTACGAGAGAGAGCGTGAGGCGGTGAGGGGGAAGAGGAATTATAATGGAGTGAGGGAATCCATCTGATAAGAGGTAGTAAGAGCATATGAAAGAGTGAGGAGGTGAGAGACTGGGAGGAAGGAGAGGGATGTGAAGAAAATACTTGCATCACATGCCATCATCACAACCTACTTTGTTTCTCTCATACTTACACACAGTTGCAGGGGCGGAACCAGAATTTTTGTACCGGGGGCTTAGGGATGGCTATCTAGTTTGAAGGGTTGCCGAATTATCATCTTTATTTGGGGCTGATGGAATTTTTGGGTGTTTCAGCCCAACTCCACCCCCCCCCCAACATCTACCCCTTCCTCATTGGTGCAGCCACTGCACAGTTGAGCCACAGTGTACTGGGCCAAAAGCCGCGACTCTTTTCCAGGAATCACATCCAGGTGTATACTGCATTTTTAGTGGGTTGAATCCCTAACACTGGTACACCAGTGACAGCTTAATCACTAACCAAGTCAACGTATTACTACGATACCAAC